AGAATGATTGACTCCGAACTGCAAACACGCTTCAAAGAGTTTGTCATCAAGGACCAGATATTCCAGGCAATACACATGGCGCTGAAGACCGGAACACTTCCCCCCATCAAGTCTGCACTATCAGATTGGGAAGAACGGGACGGAATGGTATTCTTCAAGAACAGATGCTACGTCCCCGCTGATGAACAACTTCGGAGAGACCTAATCCAACGCTACCATGACACCCCGGCAATGGGACACCCCGGACGCTTCAAGACACTAGAACTCCTACGACGTGACTACTGGTGGCCAGGAATGCACACAATGGTGTCTCGCTACGTGGAAGGGTGCGCGGAATGCCAGCAAAACAAGATCAATACGCATCCCACCACACCACCGCTGAACCCCATCTCGGCTGACGGCGTCACACGACCCTTCCAGCAAATCTCTGTTGACTACATCACCGATCTACCGACATCTGACGGTTTTGACTCAATCATGGTCATGGTAGACCACGGCCTTACAAAGGGGGTAATCCTTACACCGTGCAACAAGACCATCGACGCCATCGGAACAGCCGCGCTCATGTATCAAACCGTATACCGACGTTTTGGCCTCCCAGAAAAGATCATCTCCGACAGAGGACCACAATTCACATCACACGTCACCAAGGAACTAGGAAGACTCCTGAAGATCACGCTTTCTCTCAGCACCGCATACCACCCACAGAGCGATGGACAAACGGAAAGAGCCAATCAGGAACTTGAAGTCTATCTCCGGATCTTCTGCACAGGTCGACCAGACACCTGGTCAAGACATTTGATCGACGCAGAAGTAGCGCACAACCAACGAGCCCATGCAGCCAGAAACGCCTCCCCCTTCTACCTCATGATGGGATACAACCCGTCCTTGATCCCCATTGCCTACCCAAGGACCAATGTTCCCCTGGTACAAGACCGCCTAACTGACCTGCAAAAGGCACGTGACGAAGCACTAGCGGCACATGAGTTAGCCCGGCAAATAATGAGGGACCGCATTATGGGAAAGTTCATCCCCTTCAAGAAAGGGCAGAAGGTCTGGCTCGAAGGCAAGAATTTGAAACTGTCATACGCCACCAGGAAGCTTGCGCCCAAACGAGAAGGACCATTTGAAATCCTCGAAGTCATCGGCACCCTCAATTACCGTCTCAAGCTACCTGAAACATGGAAGATCCACCCCGTGTTCCACGCAAGTTTCCTCACCCCTTATAAGGAAAACGAAACACACGGCCCCAACTACACGCGCCCTCCACCTGATCTGATCGACGATCAAGAAGAATACGAAGTTGAGGCCATCGTGGGACACAAGAAGCAACGAGGCGGAATCAGTTACCGAATCAAGTGGAAAGGATACTCCAGTGCCGAAAATACATGGGAACCGGAAGACATGCTGCTGCCTCATGCCCGAGAGCTCTTAGAAGGATATAAGCGGGCCAAGAAATTGGCCTGAACCTCAACATGCTCGCACTCCTCGGACTCCTCTGTCTCTACATTCTCGCCCTCTTCGCCATCTCCCTCGCAGCCATCGCCTACATCCTGCGAGAGTTCTCTCAACGACTACTCGAGAGGACCCTCCTCTCCAGGGACTACCCCCCAAGAAGGACGACTTCAACGCATGGGGAACATAGTCGCCGTCCTCATCACCACCTTCACCGCATTCCTCTTCGCTCTTGCCTTCCTCAGATACGTTTCCCAACTCTACTTCTCACTCCTCCAACACCTCCTCGACCACCGCGACCCACTCTCTCCCACCACCGTCGAAGACACTGCGACCAGCCATGGGGATGGAACTCCCATTCTCGCGCAATACCTGGGTCCCGACTCGGCCTAACACACCCGTCGAAGACACCGCCAGTTACGTGTTCGTCGACGAAAACATCGCACCCACTCAATCGTCGAACTCGTCGGAGGAAACTCTTCACGAATCTGAAGCGGTACAATTGTCGGACCCACGGATAGAAGCTTTCGCTGTGGCCTATGCACGAGCCGTAGACACTCAAAACGAGCTCGAAGACATAGTTGACGAAACCCTTTCGAGACGCAACTACAACCTGTGGGTAGTGGTCAGTCAGGAGTTCTACCAAAGGCGCGTAATCCGTCACCTCGAAGCAGTACAACAAGCATTGGAGAATGTCCCCGGGGAAGAAGCGGCACACGCGCTCTACCACCTCGACGAAGGGATGCAACACCTCTCGGACGCACGAGAGAACATCGACCATGCCCTCTCGTGGCCCACCAACCGACACCGCCTCCAACAGTACTTTGGACGAATCGTACCGGAACTCGGTGAACCAGAGCCAACCGAGCATCCGGGGGGTCCAGCATCGTCTCGACGAACACGCGCGCTATCCCCGGCCCCTGAAGCACGATATGTTCGACCTCACCTCGAACAGATCCAGCCCCTACGACCTCGTCTCGACACCCCCAGACCCGTACCTTGGCAAGCACCACTGCCAATCCCTCCTCCACCGCAGCTATCAATCCCATTCTACGCCACTCCGGTACCTGTCGCTGCGGAAAACGCGACTACTAGCCGATACCCCATCCTCGACGCAATAGCCAATGAACAGTTCTGCCTCAACTGCGTCATTGTCGGCCACGGAACGCTATACTGTCCCCAGAGACAGTGTCGTTGGTGCAGGATGTGGGGTGCAGGACATCTCGATGCGGACTGCCCTTGGTTCGGAACTGCGTCCCCTCGCTCTCCTCCGCGCTCACCGGAGACTCGACACTTCCGAGACAACATCTGAAGAAGTCGAGGGCGACTTCCTACCATAGAAAGGGGGTTATGTTACAACCGTACGTGCTTCAGTGACGGTTGGTCACACGATTATGTCTGGGATCGGTCACGGACTCTGCCTCGTGGTTACCATGTGTTTCGGATACGTGTTTCGGTGCCTCATGGCTACGGTGTGTTTCTGCTACGCGTTTCAGCACCTTATGGCTACGGTGTGGTTACCTGCAGGCTGCGCCTCATGGTTACAGAGTGTCTCACATGTATATATACGAGTAGGAGAGCTGAGGAGAACCTCAGCTCGACCTGGTTATCTATCGCCCTTCGAACCTCCCCTCTGAACCTCGATCCCTCTGTGTGAAGCGTCTAAGTCCCTGTGCTGAAAGCCTAACAAGCGAACCACTGGGCATCGTCTTAACAGTACCTTGAGAGCCCGGGGCGTCACAATCGAAGACCTACATGGGAACAGCCAGGCGCGGTTCAACGCTGACGATGTGGGGCTCGGGAAGGACCCGGTCAAGAGCGGGGACATTGCTGCCGTACTGATACGCATTGGCCCGGTGATCTGCCTTGCTGTGGTCGAGATACTGGAGTTCGAGAGCTCTGGTGAGCGAAAACAACATCTGACGGTAATCGAACTCGAGGAACTTGAGAAACAAGGCTCGGGGATCAAGGTCCTTGTCCAAGCACTCAAAATGCATCGCACTCAAGATCTCCCTGGTTCTGATGAGGGCGCAAGATGGCTGTGGGACCGACAGTACGCACAGCTCTATGCTGATGATGCACCAACACGAGGAAAGCGCGCCCACCATACCTTTCATGTCGCTGGATCCATGATCTTCCCTCTCGGCCCCGACATAGAGCTCGACCCGCACGCCGTTCAAGACTTGTCTGACTCCAATGCAACCCCTTCGAGTTCTTCTCAGAACGCACCTTGGCAAGACAGCGGTATGACATGGTCGTTGTCCCAGTCGCAGCTGGACGAGGCCTTAGATGCCGCATGGAGTGCACTTAGCCCGGATACAGAAGATATCCTCACAAACGTGGACTTACTACCTGCCGCGAAGCGGTCTGACGCGCTGCCATACGAGAGCGAAGAAAGTGAGTCCCGGACAATGTCATACAGATATTTATAACAAGCTAACCTTGCGTATACGCACCTTAGCACCATACTTTATCGTCAAGGACGTTCCGGCACACTTGACCGTAGAGAAGCTTAGTGCTGCCAGTGTTGTGCCTTGTCTTCTATGCGGGGAGAAGATGTCGCTGTTGAAGATGCGAAATCACACAGGGCAGCATATTCTATGGTCTTTGAGAGGGATATCAGATGAAGCGAGCGTACTCGATGTAAGAGGACGTCGTACACTGTGGTAGACGTGTTTCTAACTTCGGTTGCAGGTCGGCGTTGAGCCGTGCGGATTCTGCGGGCGCGAAGTGGGCTGCAAGACCCAGTTAGTGTTGAAAAACGGGACCTACAAGGTTTCCTCGAGCTGCCGCTACCACTATGCATCCATGTTGTACGCCTCGGCCATCAAGTCAACAACCACAACATCGTGTACCAATGTGCCGATCCACTGTCAGCTATGCCCCCTCACCTCTTCTGGACAGCCCACGACAATTTGGAAATACAACACTGCACTCCACCTTATTGCGGCACATAGAAACGAGGCCGGAGACTTACCCGATATTCCGCCCCGGCTCCTTGTGGACATGCACATCTCGAAGGTGGAGGAGTCGGCCATGGGCATAGAGGATGAGTGGACTGAGAGGTGGCGAGAGGAGAATGATATCCCAGGAAGCGATGATATAGAAGAAGCTCAAGGTAAGATCAGTGCAAGTGCTATTTCAAAGCGGGGGAGGGCACAGTCTACAGCGGAAGTAGAGCAGAGTCGTAGAAAGACGGCAAGGACAGGATGAGCGCCACAGGGATGTATCTACCGCAGCTACTATCTTATCTCGGCAAGGTGCTCATGGTGGTCAACTGGTGTCCGAGGTCCTGGATTTCACTTTTTGGGGTTGGAGTCGCTGAAAGCCTGTACGGTTGCCCCTTGGTTGCCCCTTGGTAGTACTGGTGCAAGTGAGCGCGCTCGAGATATTGGCCAAGTCCAGCACCGCACCCGGGCGCTTGTGAGCTCCCAATATTGGCGATAATTAATATGACAGCCCGATCATTTGGGTCATTATTTGAACTGGAGGGGGTGAAGCTGTGAAGCCCAGGGCAAACCTTCCCTCCCCGATGCAAAAGGAGCTGGACGTTGAGGGGTTTGAACCCTCGACCTCATGCAGATTGCACAATGCAAAGCAGGCGCGCTACCACTGTGCCAAACGCCCATACATTGCTACTTTGCTACGTAGACCACTAGCGCTCAGCTCGAGGCCTACGACAACTCGGATTCGGACAAGGTTCCGGTTGCCCCTGCAACACTAGGAACAATGGGCGACGCGGGACGCTCGACACCTTGCCTCGGTACGCCGAACACATGTTTCAAATGGGCTCAACTGCTTCTCTGTAGAACGGCGGAAGTTGAGCGCGATCGAGCCAGCATGCAATATACACTGAATTGGCGATACAGCAGCACCGACAGGACCCGGGCACACACAGAGACAAGCAGAACGGTTCCCGTACACGACTCAACGTCTTTGTTCTCTTCAGATAGACTCGGGAAGCGCTGCGCACTAGATCTCAGACCTGCACCGGCGGCACGGCTCCCGGGGTGGGATGCAGGGTCGTTCCTGGACGCCGTCTGCTCCCAGTCGCGGTCAGCGCCTCACGGGTTCAGACACACTGGGAACCATAATGCACGTACCGTGCTCCGCCGATCTGGCGCGCATTCATTGCGTGCTATCGCCCCCTGTCTTGGACCACGGCCAAAACACAGGCACGGTGCTGTATGAATGGATGCCGGTCAATCAGTAACGGCCAGGTGAGAAGTCGCGCAACCGAGCGCGGCGCAAAACTTAGGCTGCCAGCTTGCGCATTCAATCGACGACGGCGTCGCGATGGACTTCGCGACCCACGTCACTCATGGTAGAGGGCGTGCGGGCGCCGCGCACGAATTTCCGCGCAGAAGTCGCGAAGTGACCTAGTGCTCCGAGAGGTGCTACGGCGAGCTGGGCCGACGACCATATCGTCCCCCATTGGGATAGATGCGGAGTCCCGCGTACGCAAGGGCTCCCCATCGAGCGCACGACGGTACCAGCCACAAAGGGTGGCTGATCGAAAGTCAAAATGAACTGCGGACTCACCGCTTATACTCTTGCCACCTTGGGTCCGTCCCAAATTTTTTGTCTCCCGATCTCTGTCAATCGCAGCGATTGGAAATAAGGCGGGTATGTCAGCGCAGTTATCTGGGTGAAGCATTGCGGACCGAGCGAACGCACCTCCAACGGGGGGACGCCAGAGACCCGTGCCAGGAGGAACCACGTCAGGAGCGGACTAACTCCAGCGATCAACCACGCCCCCTTGGGGAAGAAGGATGCGCGAAGCGAGCCAGCAGATAGCAACCACATTCCCGTCCATACGCCCACCTCCCCGACGTAGCTGGAGCGCCAATCGATGGTATTAAGCCATTCTGAGCGCACACGAGACTGGGATAGAGACGTACTTGGGATGTCTGCTTACTCCCCACAGTCCACTGGTGATGAACTTCTCATCATGCTCCTTCTTCTCTTTTCGGTGACGCCAAGACGTCTTCTGGTGGTCGGCGACTGCAGGACAAATTTGAGCCATTAGTGCGTCACGGGTCCACAGGTTTACGTACCGATCTCGAACAGCCATGAACCGGCCCACAATCCTGCGGCGAGGAGGTCGAGAGGTCCCAGCTTCGGATGACTGGGAGGCGGCAGCGTATTGACCTAAAGGGCGCGATGCAACAATCAGCCTGCGTTAACGGTAGATATGCAGATCCGGAAGACGTCCTACCATATATACAGGAAGTCCGACCAGGAGCACCCACGTCGCCTGGGCCATCCAAAAGCCCGTGAAGGCGGCAGGCTTATGCTTGACTTCGTCAAACCTGGAGTCGCCCCCGGCTCTCAGGGCCCTCTGAAAGCGAGTGCGATTAGATGCAGTTTCGCCAGCATATATGCAGATATAGCACTCACCGAGAACAGGAAAGTGCCCAACCTGGCCGACCAAGCAAGGATAGCAGCGTTGAGAAGGATTTGCCGAGGCGCAAATGACGTAAAAGCAGGCAGCGTCGCATATGGGACGCGGTCCCAGTATTTTAACTTGAGGTGTGGATAGTAGAGGGAGAGAAGAGTGGTCGAAATGAAACCTATAGAACCTCCGAGATCATAGAACTTCTCGTTGGCCTGTGGAACGAAAATCAAGGCGAGAACTGCGGTAAAATTAGGTCTATCAGCCAACGCCCATTATTCAAATGCGTATCCTTACCTGATTGCAGCCCGAAAGCAGACGCAACAGTGGGAAGGAGTCTGGAGAAGAGAGGCATCTTGTCGCAGAGCGGCAGGAAAACGACGCGTACGTATGCTACGAGGTAGTGGTACGAGTCTGAGAGACGCAAGAGGGCTCGAGGGGACTACGTTCGACGGGGTCTGTGCGCTGCACAGTCCCTGCGGATAGCAACAACAAGACAGAACTGGCAAGATGATGCCTCCGTTCGGTGACGCGTAGCTGACACGGTCACGTGGGCGACGCTGGTGTGCGGGGAAATGACGTCATGCGTGTCCACGATCGCACCTCGTCCGCATATATTCGGTCTACCAAACGTCATCCACTCATCACACTCTTACGCGTGCCGTCGCAGTCCGTTGTCTGCTCCGTGTTGCATTACTACTAAACGTACTTCCTCGATTGGCGCTTGCGCACTCACGTAGTATCGCGAAGAATATCAGAACTTTCGCTTTCTCAGAAGGTAACTGATATATGGCTGAAAATGTCCACCAAGACACACGCAGTAGCGAGGGTCTCCTAGAGCACCAATCAGATACCTCACACCATCCGCCTGAAGATCATGTCGCAGATGCTCGACCAGATCAAGTCTCAAACACTGGTTGGCGTGGGCCCATCCCCAGTCAGAAAGGAGGAGGCGACGAGGATGACTTCGTGCATAAGCCTCCGTACGACTGGAAGAGCGACAGAGACCTGTTCAAGCCCAAGTACACCTGGTAAGACATGGCCGAGGTCTTGCTGAAATGATCGCTAACAAGTAGGTGCGCTTAGCGAGTGTTGGTGCGGAAATCTCGCGTTCGAGTTCCATGGTGATCCTGTCGACGCCAAGTATTGTCACTGCAGAGATTGCCAAAGTCTTCACGGTGCGCCGTTTCAATGGGCTGTTATATTTCCCAAGGTGTGCTGTTCTTACCTATTACTTTAACCTTGATAATCCACTACCGACGTCGCTATCTAGACGTCAGTTCGGATGGTGACGAATATGGACGACAGCCTTTATTTCTTCTCAAGTCATCGGCGAGAGAGTGTACATGACGTCCCTTGCAAGGTCTGTAACTCAACATCGTATTTACGTTAGATTTCAACCAACGAGCCTATCTCGAGGTTTCCTGCAACCACTGTCGATCCCCGCTCTTCGACGAGGGACGCAACACGGTACTCGCCTACCCTTCCGCGTTCAACTTTCCAGACCACAAGATTCCTCTTGATTTCCGGCCTACCGCGCATATATTCTACGGTCAGCGCATCGTGGACGTGCCTGATGGCGTACCGAAATGGTCTGGCCACAAGGACCACAGCCAACAGATTGACTGAACCCAATAGGAGGGTATGTGAATGCTTTAAGGTAGAACATGGCAGTTGACAGTGGTGCTCCGGAGCAGAACATCGCTGAAAAACTAGGAGGGAGACAGTTGACACGCCTCATTAGCGACTATGGAGAAAGTGCTGAAGACGGACATCTATGAATCGATGGAAATATCGACCTCGAGAAATTTACCAACAGCTGCCTACAGACTTTCCACAGCTGTAAAGACGGCGCATCCTCGGCATCAAACATCCCTGTTGATAAACATCTTGTATTTCCACTAACCGACTCTGTACTGGAAACTCTCGAAGCGCACCTACAGGAGTACACATACGTGAGAACCCGTGCGTCCTAGCCAAGCTTCACAGATGCTGCACCTGGTCGTGTGCCGTATACAAATATGCGGACACTCCCCGACCCAGCCCTAGTCGCAGAACGCGCTCACGTGCGATCAGAAGCTGCGTATTACCGTGAACGCGGTCTGCGAAGGCCCTGATCGCGCCGCACTATATAAAGGGCCGCTCCCGGAGAACCTAAGTTTCCAGAACCCCCCAAGAGTTCGCGCATATGCCGCCCGCCGCAGATTGAAGTTCAAGCCTACCGTGTCCAACCTTCGCGTATAGGTCACGTCTACCATGAGCAACCATGAAATCATCTCCTTGAGCAGCGACAGCGAGCCAGACGCCGGCCCCGTCGCCGGGCCCTCCCAGCCGCGGCCGTCAACAACCGCGCGGAAGCGTCGCGCCCCACCTCGACCACCGTCTGCGTCGCCAGCGCGGAACGGCTCAGCGGAACTGGACGTTCCGCACGCGCTGGACGATGCGTCGCGCACGCAGCTGCACGTCGCGATCGCGACCGCCTCCGAGGCGCGCGTGCGCGAGGCGTTCGCCGCACTCGTGGATAGCGTTCCTGCCGTCACCGAGCGCGTCTTCAGCATGCTTGTCGCCGCTTCCGAGGAGGTGGAGATGGAAGTAGATGCAGCACCAGTGGCGAGGGACCCCGTACCCCGCTCTCCTGTGAAGGCTGGGAAGGTGCGCGCGAAGCCCGTTATGCCAGGGGTTCCGCGATGGGAGGTGTGCGCGAACTGCAAGGAGCGGTACGACGCTGGTGCAGAGCGGCGCGGCGTCGAGTGTAGGTATCACCCAGGTCAGCTCAATGACAGATGCTTGCGTGGATGTGTAAAGAGGGACACTGACCGCAGGACAGGAGCACTCAAGGTTAACTACAACGCCTTTGAGGACTGGGACGAGGACGTGCACGGTGAGATGGACACACCCGACAATCGGAGGGACTTTCCGGAGAACTTTACGTGGACATGCTGTCGCCGCAATGGAACGAAGGCCGGGTGCGTACACGGGGAGCACGGCTCAGAGTTTGGAGATGGGCCAAGTCAAGGGAAGCGGAAGAAAGCACGGCTGCGCTAAAGTTTCACCATACCAGCTCTTTTGCGATACCCTGTCGTTTGCTCTGTCCGTGCGCAAACCATCTCGCATTCCCTAAGGACGCCGAGCCCTGCAGAACTCCCGACATCGACGATGGGAACTTCTCCGTCACGTTTATACCGGCGTGCAAGATGCAGAAGGGCTTGCATGCAGTGGAAAACGTATCAGA